ACCCGGCATCCTGGCATACTCTTCCAAACAAAAAAAAATTAAGTATATAGAATGCCATCCCTCAGATGTTCGACTTGGAAAATGAGCTATTTTTTATCCTTGTTCATTGAATATTTGCCGAAAACACCATGCTATAGCGATGAGAATTTCATGCGATTTAAATAGGCCTGGCCTAAGATCGATATTTAAGGAGTGCGAGCCTTCATGTCTTTTTGCAGTTGTTTTAAAAAGAAAATTGATAAAAATCGAATTAAAATATAATATTAATATATATATGAGAAAAATAAAAACAAATGATCTTGCTGAACTAATTAATGAGTTCCAATAGGAATCGTTACCGAATAGCAAGTCTGGTCTGTTCGATTACAATTCATATCGATTACTTACACTTGTTTATACACGAAAGAGTCATCCCTTCAAACATGTGAAATAAAAAAACATCGATCATTATTTTATCTTTTGTGACAAAAACATTTGTCATCTACGGAAAATCTTTGTAATCAACTAGTTTCAGAATAAGAGTAAATAATAACGAAAAACTATAATTTTCGAAATTCTTAAACGAAAATAAAATTCAAACTAATAAACTTTATATTTAGTCAACGATCTCGTTCGGAAAAAACATCCAATGATTTGTTAGAAATTGACAGGTACCAAATATTTTTGTTTTTTATTTTAAAAAATCTCTCTTCGTTTGCTTTTTGTTTCTTCTTCAAAGTGTTCGTTTTCTCGAAGGTCGTGTTGATTCGATTGCTAAGCCATTTTATGCATTTATTGATATTCTATTAGACGAACAACGTGGTTTACTTAAATTAATACGTATGACATTAGTTCAATTTATTCGTGTTACATATGGAAGTACAATAAATCGACAAGTACGTCGATATATTGTTAGCTTGTTTCAAGAAGAATATATAGTCAAATATTTAATTATGCTACGAGATACATTTTGGCCAAAGACTCCACCTGTTGAACGACAAACACGTACAGATGATGAAAAACGAGAACGAAGACAACAAGCTAAACAACACTTGTTATCTAATATACCAGGTTTTGCAATGAGAAAATTTCCAAATACAAAGAAATTTATCTGATTCTTCTTTTTGTCTAGAAACTATTTCTTTGATATTTGGTTCCGATACTGCAAGATTAGGTGCAGAACGTTTATTCGAACTTTTCCAAGATATTCAATTGAATAAACATCTTTGCTATGTAAGAAAGAAAATGAGGAGTTTATTGACATTGTTCTATTTGATATTTGTTTCGTTTTAGAAACTGATGATGTTGTTTATCAGCGAAATATTTCCAGAATTACAGATAAAATTATAATTGTATTTTACTTTTGATATTTTAAGTGCAATCGTGATTAGTGATTTGGATATAAAATAATTTATTTCCTGTAAAAAATAAAAATGACACTTGATACGTTGTTTAGATTTACTCTTTACCAATGGTGATGTAGACACTTAGTCTCGTCTACATATTCGAATGATGTAAATAGAATGATTCAACATATTTCACTTTATGTGGAATAGATTCATCAGTCTAGTAACCATTGCAAGAAGCAACAGAGTAGAACGACTTGCAAGATAGTATTTCTTCTACTTCACTATGACAGCTGTCAGTACGCAAGAGTAGTATTCTTGTTCTTTTTATTTAATCAACATAATAAAAGACAAGAAGAAAATATTGAAAAAATATTTTTAATAGTCTATGTATTTTATACACAATATTTTTAAACACTTTTTGCATCGCTAATTAAATACATAATCAATGAAAGAATTATATCGACGATAAGTATTTTATTCGATTTCTAATATGGTGAGATTTACAAAAAAAAATGCATGATATTTGTGACTTTGTTTTACTTTCCGATGGGCGCTCTAGGATTCATTGAATATTTGATCATCTCCTTCCTGCCAAACTCTGAGCAAACTTTGAAACACATTTCATTCACTAGTAAACATTTTGCTCAATACATCTGAGACAGCATGTCTCTGAAGAGTGTAGGTATGATCTTCTCTCCAGAAACAACCCATATGCACATCCTTATTTAAATAATGAAGACGCTTGTTCTGCATATATATATATATCAACCTTGAAAATATTGATGGTTCATATTTCCTCAATTTTGTGTGTTGTATATTACAAAATTTTTATCAGTATGTTGTTCGATGGAATGAAAACAAACATATAGAGGCAACGTGGAAAACATCGTAACTTTCAGAATAAATGACGAAGTAAGCCTTTATCTTGTTTCAATGTATTCATAGCAACAGACAAGAGAGGAAAGCGAATGAGAAAAACTATCATTCACTCAAGTATATATCTATTTTTACATATTCATGCTTGCATATAGGATGAGTGGAAAAAGTTAACTTCATTACGGCAAACACGTATATTTAACTTTAATTTTTGACAGCATGACAACTATTGTTGGATTGTTTTTTAAAATGCCAACCATTACTTTTTGAATAACTTTTGTTCGTTAAAAGCTATCAAAGTCTAGTTTTCCCCATTACATTGAGCAACGTTGGAGGCATTCATCTGTGTAGCATGGGTTAGTCTAATTTCAGCACCGGAAAGTTAAGCACAAAGAACAATCACAATGAAAAAAGAAATTTACTTCTAAACTCAAAACATGTAGTACAACTGTACGGAATCTTAAAAAAGCTTTTTCTGCGACTAGACGGAAAGAATCATCACTACCGAAACTTTGTTACGGTTGGACTAAATTGAAAAACGTTCACACACAATGCCAAACCTTATAGATTTGGTACAAAGGCTTTTTAAGATTTTTCCTGGAGGCACAGGAAAAATATTGAGAGGTTCCGTCTCAACGTTAGTTTCAAACCTAAAAGGTTGGGCATCGCGTGCGAACGTTTTAGAGGTTCTGTTGATCGTAGACATTCAAAGAACTGAAACTCTGGTTTAGTGATCTAGACCGAACGATGCACGTTCGCTTTTCGTTATGGACAAAGGTTCGGGACCTATCCAACCAGATTCAGACAGCATTTAGTACTTAGGCGGTCATTCAAGCGCTTCTCGTAGTATGAGTGATCATGAAAGCATTCTAAGGTTCGACTAACTTCGGATTCGAGTATTTTCGAACATCACTGATTTTCTTTTAAGATGTCTTCAGTTCTTCCGTTTTTGGATCTTTCATTTCATTGTGTGTAGACCTATTATAGCGGACTGTAGAATACTTGCTTCTGGCCCATTTTTACGACCTTTTTATTAAATTGACTAAAAATAACTAGGCTCAAGATCGAACCCCAAAGGCTTGGATTCGATGTATATCTGGTTGATTCTAAGAACGTTTCGTACATGGATTCGGAGTCTTTGGGTTTCGGTAGTGACGATTCTTCCTGTCTAGTCTCAGGAAAACCTCTGGTAAGATTCCGTATAGTTGTAGTACAGGTTTTAAGTTTCATAGTAAACTTCTTTTACAGTGTGATTATTCTTCGTGCTGAAAATTCCCGATCCCAACTCAATGAGAGCTATCGATTGGTATCAAATTTAACCATACTCATCTGAAGGATGAGTCTCTATCTGTAATCTGCCAAGCTACGAGCAAATTTTGAAAAACATATGATTCACTAGTAAACATTTTCGTCGATACATATGATATAGCACGTCTCTGAAATGTATTTTGTATGCAAGTAGGAAAGATTTTTGAGGAAAATTATATATTGCTAAACTTATCGATGATGTACACCATGTTTTTCAGAGATGAAGTAATTAGACAAAGTAGTCTTTTTTTTAAACAACCGATAGTTCATCAAGTTCCTTAGAACAAACAGAAGATTAGTTGTAGATCTAGTGGGCCGATTCTTTTAATGGTGTTTCTGTCAGTGAACACGCCAGTGAACGTTCAGAGGTAAAAGGTTAAAATTGTTTAAATGATTTTTATTATTGTATGAATGGGTTTTATTTAGCCAGATTAAACCGAGTATTTAAATAACACATATCCATTTGGATGATTTTTTTTTTCACATTTTGATTGAAGAGATTTAATAAAAATTATAATGAAACATCATTGTTTCCAAGTATTGAATTTATTTTCTTAGTGAAACAATTAAACTTTTCTTTCTTATAGATACTTCTGTTGGTCTTTCTACATCCTATGATCGTTTTCAACTGTCACTTTTTTTCTCTATAAAACAGGTATTGATAATAAATTTTTCAAAAATGTTTCTAAAGGACAGGGGCGCATAAGACCGTAATTTGTATTAATAAAAGGATTGTAATTGAAGATAACTATAAGAGTGTTCAATATGGATTGCTTTTCTATAGATTATTGTTTAATAAATAGATCAAGATAAAATATCCAAAATATAGGACAAATATGATTCTCTGCCTATTGGAATATATTTGATTTTATATTAGATCATAATAATCAAAGAATTGTACTAAATAGAAATAACAGTGAGATAAGAAAATTGAATATTAATCATCATGTCAGTTCCTTATTTACCATAGAAGAAAAGAAATAAATAAAAAAGAGAATATAATGTTCATCTGCTTTTTCAATTGTCTCTTTTACTTAATATTGTTATTTCGAGATCATATTCAGGACACGTTTTATATCGTCAATAAAAAAAATCCAGTTAAAATCCATGAAATGAAAGCCGATGTTCCTTTTTTGACTCAAATCATTAGTGCTAGTGTTTTAGTGTTAACTTCTCTGAACAAGTCTCTAGGGTTGATTTTTATAGGGTATCGAAAGTAACTTAACATACATATCACATATAAAAATTAGCTCTTGGAGAATCCATTGTTCCGACATATACACGCTTTTATTTTGGGAAGTCACGTCGCTAACGAATGAATTTGTCCATATAATAAAAATTTCATAGTCCTTTTATTACACAATTCCTCCTTGGATATGTTTATTAACTTTCAATTATTGATTTCGAAATAAAGGACGGAAAAAAAAATATCGCTCGTTGCTATCTTATAACGAAATTCGATCTCTATTCAAATGAAAGACGTCCGATTTTAATGAAATGAAAATCTATTAAAAATTAATTATCCTAAAATATCTTCTTGTTACATTTGACTCTAATAGTTTAGAAGACATATTAGACATTATCAATCGTTTTTCTTGTTGAAAATATACAAACACGAACAGATACTTAGCATTTTAAAGGGGTTCTCTCATCTTTCATTATTTTCAATTAATTCAAAATGATTTATTTCTCACAATATAATATTTGACAAATAAACTAAACGATTTGTTTTGTTCTTTTTAGGTACCTTATATCAAATATAAACAAATTAGGAAATGTTA